TCTAATTAGCAGCTATGCAGCTTTCACCCAATTACTGCAAAATTTAAATTTATTATCCAAGCAGCTGATTTCTAGCTACCGGCCAAGTCGGGCCACCACTCACCTGTCCTCTACCCGATGGTGCCGGTTACCAAGTAATCCTTCGTGGCAGCTCCACCAACAATCTTCTCAGTCCTCCTGTACTGTGCTCATCGAAGACGAATGACTGCGACACCGGCTACGAGTGCATCCAAGGATTATCGGCTATTGGCGGCCTCGACGGAGCTTGTTGTCCAGATCAAAGTAAGTTAATCCTTCTAAACAGTAGCGTAATACGCTTCCTTTACTTCCTTGATGGACATGAATTCTCTCACCTATTCACTTATCGATCAGGTCAGTCCTGAATAACCAGGTTTTCTTTCAGTAACCACCTGCCACCATCCGATTTTTGATCACGAATCCGGTACACTAGAACGATGGGGTTTCGACGGAAATGAGTGCATACGGTTCAAATGGGATCCAGAAAAACCTTCTTCCGCTAACAATTTCAAAACTAAAATACAGTGTGAAAGCTATTGTGTAAATATTTATGCCTGAGTGCTTTGTGAACATAACTTGTGCCTATCGGGGAGAAAACTGTAATATTGTGAAATGCTGCTCATGCAAAACTTTAACCTAATTCTCTAACAATCTAATTCAAGCGCAGAATGTACGGCTGCTTTAAGGAGCGCTGCAGAAATACAGACGAGATCAGGTTTCATTATCAGTCGTATTAACTGTCTGGAAGGGGATGCATCAGCAAATACTAGTTCGAACTGTTTTGATCTTTTTCTTCTGCCTCGAGGTTTTTTTAGGTGGAATTCTTTATTCTCGGCCAACGTTTCGACCCTTTCGTCGTTGTCAAGGCCTAAACATGGCTCAAAGCTTTAGAGTTGCACACTACCCCACCAAAGATTCCCCTCTAGCATTTCTGACGTCATCTCAGGATCGCCAAGATACCCAAGAGTTAAAAGATAAGCTCACCTCGTGTTCCACCACTACAATGTAGCGTAAAGCTACAGCTCACGTTAGTAGGTGAGTAGGTTAGTATGCGAATGAGTGCTACCGTCGTGTAGTATCAATGACGTGCACCTTCGCTTATCATGCATGCAATCCACAATGCTCCATGAACGGTAGGAGATCATTCGTTAGGAAACACACTCGTTTCGGTTGTTCATTGTTGGATTCCAAGCTAAAATCCAAAATTCCAGCGCTTTCCTCGCTGAAATCTCCGTCTCATGGGCCAAAATAGTGCACTTGACGTCAAAATCTTCGCCACCATGCTGTTCCATTCTATGTTTCCCTAACGGCGTGGACATGCTATTGCGCCTTTTACCAGATAGGTGTTCCTTGATGCGTACTGATAAAACTCTTCCTGTTTCCCCTATGTACGTTGCGTTACATGTCCTGCACTCTATTTGATAAATCACACCCGCTGAAGCGCAATCACCAATTTTACCATGAGGGCATGTGACACAGTTCTCTGAGAGGCACTGCTTGTCGTAGAGCCTGTTCCTCACAAGTTGACGCTTGATATTGTCATTAGGGATGTTGACCAAGACAACATCATCGCTTCAAAGCCGGCTTCAGTTGCATCGTCTGAATTGCACTAGATTATTTTGTCAGAGATGAATGGTTACAACGAGGAAGCTTGACTTTGGCGGGATGTTGCTTCCTGCTGTCAATGTGAGATCTTCTTACGTGGGGTGGACCGTATAGCCATTCACAACTGCTATTTTTTGGAAGCTAGTTGTAAGGATTCTTCCCGTGCAGCTGCATTGCTGCACATACTCGTTGCTGTTTTATACATGTTTCAATAACCGCACGTTTCACAGCAGAAAGTGTGCGCAGAAGTAGCATGGACGAGAATATTCTTAGAGCTACTTTTCCGATACCACTTCACGCTCATCACGCCGTTGGACACTAATTGAATTTGAAATTGAGCAGAATTGAAGAGCCGGTAGTTGCGCGCTTCACCTGGCTGATGTAATGCAGATAACATTATAATGACTGCTACATAGTGACTTCAACGCAGTCCGAAATAGACGAGTGTTTCCGCATATTGAATGAGCAGTCACCGTACATCAGGCTCACATGGGAAACACCGAAAAACGGTTGGCTACCTCATCTTAATACTCAGCTTAAAGTGTAAAATTGGTGATTGCGCCTCAGCAGGTGTGATTTATCAAATAGAGTGCAGGACATGTAACGCAACGTACATAGGCGAAACAGGAAGAGTTTTATCAGTACGCATCAAGGAACACCTATCTGGTAAAAGGCGCAATAGCATGTCCACGCCGTTAGGGAAACATAGAATGGAACAGCATGGTGGCGAAGATTTTGACGTCAAGTGCACGATTTTGGCCCATGAGACGGAGATTTCAGCGAGGAAAGCGCTGGAAGTGTTTTGGATTTTAGCTTGGAATCCAACAATGAACAACCGAAACGAGTGTGTTTCCTAACGAATGATCTCCTACCATTCATCGAGCATTGTGGATTGCATGCATGATAAGCGAAGGTGCACGTCATTGATACTACACGACGGTAGCACTCATTCGCATGCTAACCTACTAACCTACTAACGTGAGATGACGTCAGAAATGCTAGAGGGGAATGTCTTTGGTGGGGTAGTGTGCAACTCTAAAGCTTTGAGCCATGTTTAGGCCTTGACAACGACGAAAGGGTCGAAACGTTGGCCGAGAATAAAGAATTCCACCTAAAAAACCTCGAGGCAGAAGAAAAAGATCAAAACAGTTCCGAACAATGCCGAGGTTTCAAGATGAGAGGAGTTGGAATCTACTAGTTTGAACGATACTATAAGCTGATGCAGGCTAACAAATGAGTTTATGCCTTGAATTGCTGTTTTTCACTGCATGTAGCTCTGTTCAGTGCGGATGATGAGGCGTGTCCGCACCGCAATTTGAGGCAGCGCCAACCCGTTTTTTTCCTTTCGGCAAGCGACAATTCTGTGTCATATCTTCATATCGTCGTTCGTATCAGTCGTTTTCCACCAGTTATTGTCACCTCTTCATCAACTGGTGGAGAACTGGGAGGCAGTGGAAAAATACATGCAAAAAAGTATTCATATTGGAAACAATTTGCTTCATACCTTGGGTGATCTGCACCAAAATGCTACAGCTTGTAGGCACAGCGCCCAAAATGTGCATAAGACATTGGCCTGGCCTCCGGCGTTATTGATGTTATTCGACCCACTCGAAGCCTCCTTCACTGCTTCGAAGGGGGGGGGGGGTCGAACAACCTAAAAAAGTAACTAAATGTCAAGAGAAGTATGAATCGAAGAAGGAGGTAACCCTACCAATACCCACAAAACGATGGAGCTGTCCCTTTTGGTCCAGCCTAGACTGCCCCTTGATACGGAGGGAATAGGCCTCTGCTATTCGAACATCATCGTTCCCACCTCATCTTTCTTCATCTAAAAAAATAAACTAGATCAACAAAACGATCTTCTGTAAAATAATATGAAAAATCAGATAGTAATCGGTAATCTGCTTCGTGCTGCAAGTGCCATTAAACAACGTTAACCACTGCTGTCATAGAAATATTTCATTATTAGCAAACCTGGCCACTTCAAAAAAATAACAATATAACAACGTTTGGAACAACTACTAACTATATCGAGAGGATGGAAAACTCTTCTAAAAACCTATAAAAGATTAGAGAACTTATATACAGACATTTACATAAATAACCACATTTACAAGAAAAAAAAACATCTACAAGAAAACTACAATAGCACTATATTTTAGGAAATCATATTACAAAATCCATTATATGGTAAGCCAATTCCCGTGAAAAAGCAAGATTAGACTGTTATGATCTCTTACAGTATTCTGCTAAAACTTTGCGAAAGAACTCAAAAAGGGCCGAATGTTCCATTCAAGTCGTACCATGGCTCAGCATACGCGTTCTCTCCACTGTTAAACAAACCAGCGAAAGAGTCCAGCGAGAGATCACGTAGATCTTCCAAGGGGTCGGCAAAATCAACACCATCAGCATTCGTGAGGCAACTGACCGCCGGTTCAGGAGCTTGAGGGTAAGTGTCTGAGCAATAAATTCACTAAAAAGAAGGTCGCCCACCAGAATCGTTTGCCGCTTACCACAAGCGAAATCAGCATCATAGTCCAGTAAAAAGGTAAGGCACTGCGATTCAACCGGTTGAAGCTCACTGAACTCTTCAATGGGAGTTCTTTGCTCGCCTGGAAACATTGTTCCAAAAAGAAAAACTATTGCTTGAGGGGAAGCCTTGGAGTAATTACCTTGCGCTATTTCTCCTTCAGAGAAGTCCGCATCATCGATCGCTACAGATGGATTACAACAATGGTTGTCTCGCTGTATCTGCAGAACACACGAATTCTTATGAGTTTAGAAGCGACAGACCTAATCATGCACGTATACTCAGTCCACAAACCTCTTCAGATGTCTGCCCAACCCTATTATGATTGATGTCAGTATGGTATGAGCTGTAGGTTTCTTGAAAAAGTGGAGCTGAATGAACCGGTTGCGTCTCAACACTCCTAAAACGTCACAGTATTGTGCTATCCCGAAGACTTGTTAGAGATGAAAAGTTGAAGAGGTACCAAAGAGTTCATTGCAGAAGACTCCAAAGATTCAAAGAGGGATCTAAAAGTTCTTTTCAAGGAATCTGGAATATGAAATTAGTCTGTTACTTCTCCGAAAACTTCGGTGGTTAGCACATGCCTTAGCGATCTGTACGTTTATCACTGAAAGAATCGAAACATTCGGAGATTTTGCAAAACAAAAATTTCTTTCATTTTGGATTTTTGGAGCAAACTCAGACTTTTAAAAAACCTTACTACTATCATTTGAGCTTTCCTTTAGAGAAAGGCATAGGGTAGGACACTGAATAAACCTGTCAGAAACTGCGCCAAGGTTTTCTCAGTGGTAGAGTCATAATCAGAAGTAGAAAAAACAAAATATTGGAGAAAAAGGAAAACACTCCAAAGCGCAGATGATAAGCCACGAAAGAAGGTAGAAAGCCATGTATGTGATGAGGGTAAAAAAAGGAAATAACGGTAATGACGTTGCAGAGTATCTCCGAAGTAAGCTGACTAAACACGCATTAAATCACTAGGGTCGTGGTGCAAATGTCGCGCACGTGAGGCCATTTGAAACAAGTAGTACACCTATGTGGAGCTGTGTCTCCAGAGATCAAAAAGAACCTAAAAGTGTAAAAATCTCAAAAAACGACGCAAATTTGAATGAATTTGAAATTACACAACTTCGCGCCACGAGCTTGGTGAGTTCTGATGCCCAATATAGGCTCACATATCGAGCATGTGTTACTGTTACTCATCTCTGGACTAGTAATGAAGAGAAATTCAAACGAATTCCGTTGACACATCACTCACCTAGGTTGAACTTCAGTACCAGCGCGCTGGTCGGCAGAACTACAACCAGTGGAGGTGCTGGTATTTTGACTACCTCCACATGCTGAGCTGTCAGTATCGCTCCAGTCGTTGCTTGGTGAAGGTCCCAGTGATATTTCTGAAAAATCGATGAAAAAGTGTGGATAAAATCAACTCTGATATCAATTACTATGTTCGAGTACAATGGAAATAACCTGATGGTGGGATAAGACGACAGCTTTTCTTTGCACTGGGCCCGATATCCGAATACATGGTGTCCTTCTTTTTCCTCTTCTTCCCAATATCCATATGAATGGTAGGATTTAGTTCTAAAACTCTACGATTTCAGCACAACAAGAGATTTGAACCAGATTCTGACAAGAAAGGAAATATTTAAGGCAAAATGGAGTTACAATAATGCTTGTGCAGATTCTGAAGTGAGTTAGGGGCAGTGAAAATCTTTCTACTCCTATCAAACAGCCAAACGAAGAGCAGTTTCAAAGGCACAATTCCATCCTTGGGAAACGAGGGACAATAAGCTTAAAAAACACTCCAAAAATTCTATACGCTTTTTTACCTCCACGTGAAAGCTGTTCCTGCTTCCTTTTCGTGATCTCTCGACGCATCTTCTCACCGAGCTTTCGCTTCTTCGTCGATGGTGACACCTGTTAAAAAGAAACCATAAGCGCTAGTTCAACGCACGGACCAATGTGTAAATTCCTATATGAAAGTCGGACCATTCTGTGAAGTCCTGTAAAATACTGTAAAAACATGAAACGTTACAAGTTTATCACAAGAATGCTGAGTTATGGGCAAAAGTCGTGCCCCAGGCGGGAGTCGAACCCGCACCTCACGCTTTCCGGGCGAGTGCGCTATCCGTTACGCCACCAGGGCCTATTTTACC